TGAAAAAATTGAAATTTTTGAAAAATGTTATCTACAATTTTCTAGACACATTGGTGTTGTTTAAAAATACCTAACCACACTCTAAATGTATATTAATGTAGGCTAAATATATCTTCATGGTACATGGTCATCATTTCTAACTTTCCAAAGAGTAATTTATTTAAACTTCATATATATCTAATTAATGTATTAACCCCTATAACATTTATATTTTCTAGAGAAATGAGAACACATAAGGTCTCAAACCTCTTTAATCTTCATACTAAGCTAGAGAATGATTCAAATATGCATTAAAACGAAAATACGAAATTTTCTCATTTTTCTTGAAATATGTGGGTTAACCCCTATGAGAAAATTGAAATTTTCAAAAAATGCTATCTATAATTTCTTAGACACATTAGTGTTGTTTAAAAATACTTAATCACACTCTCAATGTATATTAAATATATTTTCATGGTACATGGTCATCATTTCTAACTTTCCAAAGAGTAATTTGTTTAAACTTCATATAAGATCTAATTAGTGTACTAACACTTATAAAATCTCTAGAATGTATATCCTCGGATTATAAATATTATAAAGCAATATGACTAGAAAAAACTACATACAACATAAATCAATGCATCTATCTCTAGTTATACTGAATTCTACATTTCTAATACTTTTGATTCATGTTTATTCTTTAATATTTTTAATCCACTCAATAAAATCAAAATAACATGTCAAACACAATTTTCTGCGCGTAGCGCGGACAGAGGATCTAGTAATTGTAAAAATTATAACAATCAAAAGGAAAAAGAAGATTTAGTTCTCAAAATAATATATTCAGTTTTAGTGATAAAAATAAATCCAATAAAAAGAAATAAAATATATGGAAAAAAAATCAGAAACTTAGGAATAAAATTATATACTCAAGAAAATGTAAATAATATCTGGTTAGGATTCTTTTGTTGTTAAATATTAACCTAGGATAAAAGTAAAACTAAGCCATATTAAAATATTAACCTAGTGTGTATTTTGTTAATCTATAAGTTTTTATGTTGAAATAAAGAGAAATGAGAAAGTTTTTGAAGCATAATATATAATTTATACCTGAAAATGTATAGAAATGAAATCTTTCCAAAATGAGATTGGTCAAACTTTTGTAATGCATATGAACTAAGAAAATGTCATCTACTGGTATTCTTTTGTGTATTATTTCTTCAAACACTATGCCAAAGTACAACCTTTTCTCTGTGAAAGATTTTCAGCCAAAGTTCAACCTTACCCACAATAAACTAATGTCTTTTTACTTGATGCCATTTTCCACAGAAACGTTGCCGTTTTCCTCCGAGCCCTTCACTTTCTTTTCTATCTCCTTCTTCTCTTCTTCCTCTGTCTTTTTCTTCTTCTCTTCTTCCTCTATCTTCTTCTTCTCTTCTTCCTCTTCTTTCTTCTTCTTCCTCTTCTCTTCCTTCTCTGCTTTACTCTTCTCTTCTTCCTCAGCCAACTTCTTTGCCTTCTCCTTCTCCTCCTCCACAGTCTTCACCAAACGCTTGATGCAAACATCTGCATCTTCATCATCAGACTTCGGCATCAAAGTCTCCGCAACATCAGCTGGAGACATATCGGTCTCCTCGAGCAATCTTTTGATCTCTCCATACAAATCATGTGACTCAATATCCAAGTAGTTCTTAGCCAAAACCTTAAAGGCTTCAAACTTGCAATAAGACATCTCAATATGGTTATCCATCCTCCCTCTCCTTATCAAAGCTGGATCAAGCTTATCCACAAAGTTAGTTGTGAATATAATAATCTTCTCATCACTACAAGCTGACCATAACCCATCAATAGAGTTCAACAGCCCTGACAATGTCACTTTACTAAGCTTCTCAGCTTCCTTCTTCTCCTTCTTCTCAGCTTCCTTCTTCTTCTCCGCGTCATCCTCTTCATCCTCCTCCTTTTTCGTCTTCCTCTGCCCCGTAAGATCGAGAGAACAATCGATATCTTCAATCACAATGATAGACTTACCTTTTGTATCAAGCAACAGCTTCTTTAACTCTGAGTTATCCTTCACTGTGGTCAGCTCAAGATCATAAACATCATAGTCCAAGAAGTTCGCTATCGCGGATATCATCGTCGATTTCCCTGTCCCGGGGGGACCGAACAAGAGGTAGCCTCTCTTCCAAGGCTTCCCAACCTTATTGTAATAATCTTTCCCTTTGCTAAACTTTATAAGATCCTTCTTGATCCTTTCTTTCTTCTCAGGATCCATAGCTAAAGTCTCGAATGTCGCGGGGTGATGGAAAGGGACATTGCTCCACTTCCCTGACCTCCAAGGATACCACTCTGAGCTTGAGTTGTTAGTGTAAAGCTTCCTCTCTCTATTCCTCAACCCTATAGCTTTCCCTTCTTCTATCACATGATTAACATATGTCTCAATGATCATCCCTCTATGTCTCCTATGGAAAGTAAGCGTGAAGAACCTTCTCTCACCCGTGCTGCTTCGACCATAACTAGACTGCGTCTGAATCTCTTTCACATTAGAATACCACTTCACTTTCACACCGTTGAACACATCTTCAACTTCTTCGTGATCGTCCATGCTAAGCACCAAGGACTTGCTGTTTTTGGACTCGTTAGCCTTTAGCCTCTGCGCACGAGCAGCTGAGTTGGTGGATAGATAGTTGCGTATGGCGTCATAGTTCTCGCTTCTCTTAAGACCTTCGTCTGTGTACTCTGTGAACTTGATGTGGACGTAAAGAGAGACCCATCCGATCATCTTGTAAGCGTATTTCTCCACGCCGACTCGGAAATGGCGAGGGACGTATTGTGAGTACATCGCCCAAATGAACATAAAGCTCGTCATCGTTGTACCGGTTATCCCCCATATTGCTCCGGTTTCAAACATCTTCCTTGGTTTCTTGTGTGTCAAGAAACTATTGTTTGTGTTGCAAGAAACAGCTTTTGGTGTGTGTGTGTGTGTTTGTGACTTGCCAAGTGTGCTCTGATTTGGTTTCATTGCTCCATTACGTTCTACTTATAATACTCTCGAGCTTGCGAAGAAGGCTGCACGAAACATCTGATTAATTTAAAGGAAACTGACCATATATGTTTATGATATTATTATTATGTGGAAACGTTTTGATATTTTACTTGGTAATTAGTTTTAATATACTTTTAGGGTTTATTACTTTAAATAACTTCACTAGGCTTTGTCGTTTACGATCTTAGTATCTAGGATTAGGTGAAGGGGTTTAGAAAATTGTATTAAGAGGCTTGCTCTTCGCATCATGCGAGGAGCCACTTAAAGATTTTTGAGATAGAAAAATTCAGTCAAGTATGAGTCACAAATCTTTTTTTTTTCTTAAAGAAACTATTGCTTTGTTCGTTTATAATCTATATTTCTAGTCAACTGTGGTAAATTAATACACCTTCGTCTACAAGTTGAGCTTCTTTGTCACTTTATGAAGAAAACGTTTACAAGTTGTCTTCCATAAAGTTTCTTTCTTTTGGAAAATATTTGAAAATACATTGAAAAAGTTTTCCAATTTTTAGACGACTTAAATAGTGTCTTACTAATATTTTTAAAAGAAATTTCTTGAAAGATCACCATTAATATGTATGCTCCATGCCTCATTAGCCATGACTCATGCAGTTTTGAACGAAATTATAGCGATATGGATGACATATTTTACACAATGACGGATCATGTACTCACAACAAACTTAGATAATGCCATTATTCTTTTTTGAAAGGTCAATAAAATTTTAAGTTCAGTCAAGTTTTTAATTTGTTTACATTGGTGCGGATCTTACCCTGACAATAATCCTGCAATTACATCGTGAAACCATAATCAATCACCACACCACCATATGGGGATTATATATATACTCACAAAATTACGATAAGAAAATTTATATCATCTGCTGTAAAAGTAATTATTTAAATATATAAAATGATTTACGGCTAGTACCCTAAATATTCAAACAACATTGTCAAAATGTTAATTGCATAAATATGAAACTTTGTTTTCTTGTTGATGTCGTATACTTTTTGTAAGTATGTGCGAGTGTGCTTAGAGCAGCATGCTTAGCGATGCTTTCTCTGGGGTGATGTCAATTTGAATACAATCATGATCTAAGATAAAAATGGACTCTCTGGATCCTGGAATATTGGGGTATGTAGAATAACGGTGACTTGATAAATCAAACATAACCAAAGAGGCAAAGACTTATGTTTTAACCGATACATGATCAAAATTTATTCATAAATATCATTAGATCTCCTTGTCTTGCTTATAACCAAAACCAAATTGGAATCAGTTTAGTATATCCGAACCAGACCAAATTGCACATAGCACACTGCACAGAATAGACAACTTGTAAAAAGTCTTGAGCCTTTCCATGATACCTTCATACGAGAGAATTTCAAATTCGGCACTATTGGCAGAAACTAGAGCAACTGACTTGTAACATAGATCTTGATTATTTTAAGTGTAACTCTCAAATTCTGAAATCTTGGCATATTAAGATGACAGTATACCATTCATAATGATTATGTATAATAACAATTTAGAGCTCTTTTGTTAACCATTTTTCTGTTACATACGAAGACAAATTAAGCAACGATAGGTTAGTCATAAAAACAAGCTTAATCGACAGATTTAGATGGCCAAAACTCATTTAACTACAAAGCTATTTATTTCATTGGTACGTATACTTTAATGAAAAGTTAAATCAACTTCCCACTTCACATACTATACATAAACTTATAATTATCCCTAAACTAAGAACCGAAACGAAACTACTCAGTGTATGAGTTGTGACCATAAACAACCTTTTTACATAAGTTATTAAAGTCACAATTAATATATAGCATGTAGAACTAACTTCATATCATATAGAATGGTCGATAGAATCGCATTCCAATTTTCTAATCACGAGCAAAAAAATCAAAGCACGAGAATTACTGAAGAGCATAAGAAAGATGATGCACAATAAATTTAAAGGTCTTAAACACTGAATAATCCGTTGAACCCAACAAAAAACTAAATCAATCGAAGAGACTCATCATGCCTTCACCATCGTCCGACTCCTCTTTCTCTTCCTCAACCTTTTTGGACTCAGCCACTGGCTCAGATGCGGAAGGAGCGTTTCCTCCAGCTCCAGCCACCATAGCAACAGCTGCACCACCCGAAGAGAGTGCCCCCATCTTCTCCCTCCCAACCGCGATCAGCTCGGTCACGTCATGATCCTTCACCAAAGAAAATAACAAATCTATCTTCGTCTCATCGAACTCAGCACCAACGGACTCGAAGATATTCTTCAAATCATCTTTGGTTGGGCTCTCGTTTCCCCCGAGTTTGGCGAGGAGAAAAGCAGCGATAACCTTCATCTTTGGCTGCAACTCGGAACAGACGGTAATGAAACTACAGTGACTGCTAGGGTTTGTGAATGCACTTTAATCTGTGTGTATAAAAGAGTCTAATGCGCCATAATAGGAAAATTTTTAGGGTTTAGCGTGTGTACGGTCCACGAAAGAGCCGTAGATGGGCCCGGTAGGTGCTACATATAATTATAAACGTTACGGGCTTTAATTGTAGCGAAGATATGTAACAAATTGTTATAGTGTATGATAACCAACATAAAAACAAATTTTCAAACAATAAATATTTTAATAATTGACACTTAAAAGGATAATGGATGTAAATGAGCTTTTTGGTCTACAGCTTCATGTTTTCCATGTCCATTTCCAATGTCTATAGTGATGTATCTCATTCAAGTTTTATTACCAACCATCATTTAGTGCATATGTTTTTTTACTCATAAAAATTATTAGGCCTAGGCATCCGGGTCCTCGGGTCGGGTCCTATCGGGTCCGAGTCTTTCGGGTCTTGAAAATTTAGACCCATATGGGTACCTATGATTTTTCGAGTCGGTTCCGGGTCGAGTCTTGCCGGGTACGGGTCGGTTCGGGTCTATAATTTCAATACCTATAAAATACTCGTAATTTTCGGATCCATATTGGGTCCGGATCGGGTCCAGGTATTTAGAATTTTAAAAATACATAACATGCCAAAAATCACTCAAATTCAGTCAATATTTTTCATATATATCTAAAATTTTATAAAATAACTTAAATTAAACTATTAATAATTAAAGAAAACATTTTTAAACTCTAAATTTTACATTTTAAAACTTTATATTACTTCAAAATGTTACAAATAATAATAAATATTGTTAACAAAACAATATTTCAACTAAATTATAAAATAGTATAGATATATAAAACATAACACAAAATAATAGTTTTGGATATACATGTTTATAAGTCGGGTACAAATCGGTTCTTATCGGGTTGGGTCTATTCGGGTCGGTTCTTTTCGGGTCCGGGTCTATTGGGTCGGTTCTTTTCGGGTCCGGGTCTATTCGGGTAAAAGAAATTTAGACCCAATAGGTACTTATAAATTTTCGGGTCGGGTTCGGCTCGGGTATTTTCGGGTCGGTTCCGGTTCGGGTCTTCAGATCCGGGTAAAATGTCCAGGCCTAAAAATTATAATCCTAAAAAATATAGTTTATCTCTTTCTCTTATTTCTTTACCAGGTTATATGAGAAAAAAACTTAATGAAAAATATATTAAGAAAACAAACCTATCTAGTATCTACATTGAGAGGTTGAGTTAAAAATATAATTTTCTATAAAAATATTTTATATATGAACATATTAATATTTTTTACTAATTTTATAATTTTTCTTTTGGTTTCTTATCTAATTTGATCTGAAATATATTTATGATATATTTCCTCCTTAGCAATGGAATGAGAAGGAGTTAGGTCCAATAAATAACATAGAAATCCTATTAATTAATAAAGTTGACCTGGAATTATATCTAGTCAACTAAGTTATTTGAAGTCTTCTTCGATTACATAGTCATTTTATGATATTCAGTTTGATATTTTATCTATTCAAAAATGAAAGAGTTTCTCTAACAAAAGCAAAATGGTGGGTTTCTTATAGAGAAGGTATATAACTTGTATGAATAAGGAGGAATCTTAGATATTGAAATATTTGTGTTGATGGTTCAGACTTGAAAAATATTATTTTTTATTTATATAAAGATATGGACATTCATATATTATTGGGCTGATAAAGAATCTGTAAGTAAAAAAAAAATTATTGAATTGAGATTAAAAATTGATTAAAAGATTAAATAGTGATTAAGTTTTTCTAACTTTCGTAAAAATTTATAAAGAAAACTGATTTAAATAACGTAATTTAGGAAAAATATATTTTTTTATAAATTTGAGATTTTAAAAGGAAAGTATGTTTTATTAAACCACATTTTTTAAATATTAAATTCTAAATGTATTTATATGAAAGGTATTCCTTTTTTGATTATGAGGAGATTTGGAAAAATATTCTAAAAAAAATAAATAAAAGATATTAATAATGTCATTTTAATACTTAACTTAATTCATCAAATTTATCATTTTAATTACCTTTTAAATATCTATCTGAGAATGACACATAATTTGTCAAATTATATATTTTACAAATATATATTATCATATAAACATGGGAAAGTCGTATAGCATTTTATGTATTAAAACTCAATTTTATTCTTGTCTTTACCAAAATTTTCATAATATTAAATTTAGAATATCAAATAAAATTGTAAAAAAAAAACTTAGAAATTTTTTCTTATCATTCAATTCTTACAAATACATCATATATATAACTATAACAAAAAAAATTTGGTTCCATCTGTCCAAAATGAAAATCTTTTCAGATTTAAAGTTATGAATTTACAATCTGTAATATATTTCATGATTATACATCTATTTTTTTTATACATGATGAGACTGTGACTAGGTAATCATCATATCAATATCCAAAACTGATGACAAACTTTGTTTATTTCTTATCTAACTGAAATATTTAAATAGGATCCAATGTAAGCTGTTTCGGAATATAATTTCAAAAGAAGTATGTGTTGTACAGATCTTTTGGAGCTTGATTGGTGGTAACTTTGAAATATCAGACAACTTACAAACTTTTAATTTTTTGTCAACAATAAAAATTAAATGCTGTCTGGTAAAAACAAAATACAATGGGCGCTCTCTTACCATTAATACTCTATATAAAAAGGACTAAATCTTACAATCACAAAACTATAGGATACAATTTAAGAATAACAAGATTCTTGAGGGTTCACAATTGAGAAGATTATACAATTCTTTACGTCCGTCTTCACTCAGGGAAAATTCAACGGATGGATTCTCAGAGCTTTCTCGCATTTTCTCTCTGTCTTATCTTGATCTCTCCTCGAGTTTCATCAGCCTCTATACGTTTCCTTCCTCGATGGAGTAATAACAGGTTTGGATTCGAATCGTGTTCTTTCGGACAAACTCGTTGACTGATAAAGATTTGTTTTTTTTTTTGTTGGAGACAGAGATGGGTCTGTGATTAAGCAGAAGACAAGTGCTTCCTCTCTTGTTTTTGATCCAACTCGTGTCACTCAACTCTCTTGGACTCCTAGGTTTGTTTTTTTCTGTAATAAAAATCTGAACTTTGATGATAAAGTTTGTGACTTTATGGTTTTTTTTTTTGGTAGAGTGTTTTTATATAAAGGGTTTCTCTCAGATGAGGAATGTGATCATTTTATCAAATTGGTAAGAGTCAAAAAAAAAAAACCATTATTTTGATTTGTTTTGTAAGTTTTTCTGTTGTTGGAGTTTGTGTCTGAAATTTATGTGTGTGTTTTAGGCGAAAGGGAAGCTTGAGAAGTCTATGGTGGCGGATAATGATTCTGGTGAGAGTGTAGAGAGTGAAGTACGTACAAGCTCTGGCATGTTTCTTTCCAAAAACCAGGTGAAGTTTCAGTGAATAGTATATGTTCGGTTCTGTCAGCTTCAGAACATGTGTTGTCTGTTTAAATTGATTTGTATGTTCGGTTTTGTCAGTTTATGCCGTAGTGCTAAGGTGTAATGTGGCTCCAACTAGATAGAATGTAGGATTAAATTTAAAGGATTCTGGTTCTTGTGTGGAGACAATGTAGCTTGGATACAAATCAGGATACTCTAGGGTTTGATGTGATTGTTGAGCATAAAGGTTGAAGACTTGAATGGTAAGGTTTTGTGTATGTGCAGGATGAGATAGTAGCTAATGTTGAGTCAAGACTTGCCGCATGGACCTTTCTTCCTGAAGGTATTGTACAAGACATAATGTATTTAGTTTTCTTTGCTGCAGATAACTACTCAATCTCTTCTTCTTGTTTGTTGATCAGAAAATGGAGAATCCATGCAAATACTACACTATGAGAATGGTCAAAAGTATGAACCGCATTTTGACTACTTTCATGATGAGGTGAACCTACAACTTGGTGGTCATAGGATCGCCACTGTATTGATGTACTTGTCCAACGTCAAAAAAGGAGGAGAGACAGTGTTTCCCATGTGGAAGGTAATGACATTATACCACTTCTCATTCCATATCTAAGACTTGGAGTTGATTTCTTGAGATGGGTCTCATTTGAGTTTGATCACAACATTCTTAAAGGGCGCAACGAATCAACCAAAAGATGATAGCTGGACCGAATGTGCTAAACAAGGTTATGCAGGTAAAAGCAATTGTTTATAGTTTGATACATATATCCACAAGTAGTACTACTAGTTTTTGGATCGGTATGGGTTCGATTCGGTTTGTATTGGATTTTAGTATTTTCGGTTTGGGTTCGATTCGGATTTAGAGTATGGCTCAGGCCTAAGTAGTAGTATGATTCTATCTTTCCAAATGGTATATTTCACTATCTAAATATATGTATCTTGTGCAGTGAAACCGATGAAAGGAGACGCATTGCTCTTCTTCAATCTCCATCTCAACGCAACCACAGATCCGAGCAGCTTACATGGGAGCTGTCCAGTGGTTGAAGGAGAGAAATGGTCAGCAACAAGATGGATTCATGTTCAGTCGTTTGACAGACGGATTAGCAAGCCAACAGGGTGTGTGGACGAGAATGAGAACTGCTCTAAATGGGCAAAGGCAGGGGAATGTGAGAAGAATCCAACCTACATGGTTGGTTCAGAAACTGACCATGGATATTGCAGAAAGAGCTGCAAAGCTTGCTCATCTTAAGATATAAAGTATAATCAGAGCCTCTTACTAAAGGATCAAAGATTTTTGTATAGCGAAAAACCGGTTTTCGCAATTCAAGGTTTTAAAACCTTACGTTAATAGAAGAAAACAGTTGAGAAAAATACTAAAAGATAATCATGATGATATGTTACTTATCTTCTTAATAATCTTTTTCTGGTTTCTTGTTCAGTTATGTTCCCTAATGGTTCATAGTTTTAGCAAAACTTAATGAAAGTCAGATTTAATTTATTTCAAACCTCAAGCAAGCAATACATGACTGATATGGCCCAAAATGAGCTCAAAAGCCAAGAAAGTCGTAAAGCCACAGTGAACCTCATCAGTCACATCTAGTCATAATTTGGTTAAAGGCAATGAATAGAGGCTATGATTAAAGTGAAACTTTGTTCCAACCTTAAATACAACAGTAAGTTGTTTGTCTCAGATGTAAATGAATATATTTTCTACTCTTCTGGCTGTTACATCTCAAGTAGTTTGATTAGCAAGTATTTGCTTCTGTCATGTGATAAATTTGCACTTCTGTTTCTTGCTGTCACATATTCTTACTGTCTCAGGTTAATATTTTTGCATGTGTTGTTGTCCTTCAATAACCAATTGTTTCTTGCCAAGTGCTAAGATGGAACCAAGTTGCAGTCTTAAGATAACTCTAAAGGAAGCTTGCTTGTGACATGGAAATAAAACTGACTCTATCTTCCCTAGCTGTCAATCAGATTTGGATTCTTTTCCTTACAATCTGGATATTTTATCAATTGCTTTGAGGTATTGTGTAGTAAGTACCCTTATATGTGTTTGATTTATCTTCAAATGCTGAGGGAATACTTAACAAGGAAGAAAATTGTATAGCTTTACCTCCTTTTCACAGGTTTGTTATTTACTTATGCATTTACAATCTTATAATATTTTCTTATTGTTTAAAGGAAACATCCAAGCGATTCAACATAGTGGACATGAAAGTAGTAGGCTTGGTAATACTCAGTCATAAAAGGTACATTGTCCTATCCTTTCAAATGGCTCAAAATATATGTAGTT